AGCCAGGGTGAAATTTTGTATAGCCACCCGGACTTTAAAAAGAGATAAAAAACAACGACAGCGACAAGGCCGATTCTTTCTCTCGACTTAATTTTAGTGTCTACATTGGCGTGGATAACAGAGAAAGAGCCAGAACCAGAGATAAAAAAAACAACGGAGACCAATTTCGTTTGAAGAATAACATAAAAAATTTATAGAGGCGGTGAGAAAATGAGAAAAGCTAGCGGGCTCCGAGGTAAAAATGAGCGGCAGCGAAAAAAAGTGAACAGGACCACATACAACACCTCCTCCATAAAACGTGTAACTCGGAAGTTTCTGGAAGTTTCACGTTGTCGTCGTGCAAAACAACGGCAAAAAAAAGAACAAAAAAAGTGTGCCCCTTACTGTTTTTTGGCTGTTTTCGTTGTCGTCGCCGCTTAGCATTACACGATTTTATATTTTCTTTCAGTAAACTATAAGCATTAAGGAGAGCTTCGCTTTTAGCCCTGGCTAAATCTATATATTCTATCATAGTGCGTTTAAAACAGTGTGTTACCCAGAGACTTTGAAAAGGACATGAAATCGTGGCCCCGTGCAATGTGTTATCACATGATAAAACTCGTGTGGGATCATGGGTAATCCAACAAAACTATGGCGGTCAATTTGTGGAGTTGTGGTTTCAGGTGATAAAAGAGATGCTCCTAACTTAAATACTTAACAGCTAATAACTTCAACATCATGGGACACAAGGGGAGTAAACTTAGCCAAGAGAACATACGAGAGCTGCAGCAAAGCACGTATTGTAAGTTACAGCGCTTTCCTTTTTACTTCGATCTCACTGTCATTAGATCGGATAAGCTCACCGCTTAAATAGATTTTGATACCGCGGTCAGCAATTTTCCCTGTTAGTTGTTTACTTAAGTGCTAAAGTGTCTTGTAATTTTTTATTTCAGTCGATAAGAAAGAATTACAGAAATGGTCAGTATATGACTTTTTTTTATTATTTTAAAACGAACTTTAAAGCTGATGTTTTGTCATTTTAATTGACTATGAGTTCGCAGGCTTTTGTCAACAACATTATTGTTATTGAACTTTTCTGTTTTGAATAACTAAGCTGAACTAAAAATCCTTCATGTGATCAATCTCTGCCTTTTTGTACCTCATTTAGGTACCGAGATTTTATGAAAGATTGCCCTTCTGGCGAGCTCAAGCAAGAGGTCAGTAAACTTGTAAACTGTTATCGTTTGCATAAACTTACTGCTTGTATACGGCGAACGTAAACACTTGACACGCCGTTTGTTTTCGCATCTTTTCCCGTATTTTTAATCATTTATTTTTATTTTGTATAGAAATACTTAAATTCGTGCCTTTTTCAAATCGCTCGCAATGATCAAGAGTGTTCAGCCAAATTAAATACCGTTTGAATTATCCGAAAATGTCAATTCTTAAATGACCGTAGTACAAGCTAAATTCTACAGAAATACAGGTGCTTTGCAGCGCTTAAATTTAGGCCATATTTTTCTAACAAAAGACCAGAAATATGTTCGAATACAAGTTTAAGAAGCGCTTTTGAAAGCTAGGTGTGTCTTTTAATGAACATTCATAAGCAAGGTTTGTTACTTGCATATTATAATCCATTTCCTTTAAAAAACTTATGAACTTATTAATGGCCCTCTTAATAGGCAATAAAACAAGACTTTATTTTTGTCTTAAAGGCTTAGTTTAAACCAAAACAAATGAAGTGAATCACAACTGAAAATATGTTTAAGGTTTCTTTGTGAATTGAAAGTAACAAAAATAGAAAATGTCGAGTATTAATTAAAAATATCTCTAACTTGTTACGCGAGTCCTACTGCTACGTATAGGTAGATTGTTTATGTACATTCGCCATATTTTGGTTACACTCAATTTGCATAAGAAGTAGAAAAATTCATTATTTATATTTATTTATATTTTCGAGATACTCTAATTTTTATTAGTGTGCATGGTTTAGCCAACTTTAATGAAATTTTGTTGGAATTTTTTTTTCTATTCAGTTCTCAGAGGTTTAAATATTATTTAAGGTTAAAGCAAGGTGCTATTTTGCAGCATAGAAATGTCACACCTGATTGTCATGTTGGCATAATTCTTGTGGCCAATAATGTTTTCCATCATTTTTATCGAGCCTTGTTGCTCAATTTTATTATGTATTTTCATCTACTAGGAAGGATAATTTGATTAGAAAATTTGGATATAAGATTTTGAAATCTAGGTTTCAGATTTTTAAATTCAATGCAAGATCTGAAAATCAATTTTGATGACAAGAAAATCGATCCTCAAGTTGAATTTCAATTAAGAAATCAATTAAATTGGATTCTCTACTATTTCAGTGAGAAATCTGAACAAGGATTTGCAGAAATGTTCTCTTGAACAGTCGTCTTCAATGTCTTATAATAATATGTGCACATGCAAGACTGCTGCTCTTGACAACAGCTTTTAAATCTTTTTTCTGAATCCCCCCCCCCAAAAAAAAAAAAATATGTGAAAAGGCATTAAAATCTTTTTTTGGATTTTGCATTTTATTGCAGGTCTGAAATCAAGGTTTCAAAATCTAAATCTAGATTCTTCAACTGAATGCACCCGAAATAGTTACCTTAAACTGGAAATAATCTAGTTTCTAATATCATTAATTGCCTCTTGTTAACTAGAGAAACCCTTTGCATGATAAATGCTCATCATGTTGCTGTCAGCAAGGCATTTTTTCACTTTTTGTAGGTCGGGAATAAACATAGCAGCCTGTCGAATTATCCAAAAAACAAGCAACCCCTTGCCACTATTATTCCTAGTGTGGGAAAAACAAACACTTTGCTCGGATTCAAAGCCAGAACCTAACAGTAATGCCCCAAACTTTGTTTAGAATTGGAGCACTGGGCTGGCTTTTGTTCGTAATGGTACTTTGCAGTTTCCAAAGTTTTTTATGCAGTTTTGTTTGTTGCATTTTTGTTGCTAGGCAACTGATGTACTATATATGGGTAACGGTTCCCAAGATTCAACTGCCCTGAAGCAACCCATACACACCATGAATTCTGAGAAATCTGCAAAGCTTGCACATACAGTGGCTCTGTACAACATCTTTCTAACCCAAGAATTTTTCTCATATTTTATTTGTCTATGTGTATGTCTTTTGTAGGAATTTCAAAAGATATATCAGCAGTTCTTTCCCTTTGGTGATCCTTCAAAGTTTGCAGCTTTTGTCTTTAAAGTTTTTGACAAGAACTCTGTAAGTAATTTTAAACGTCTTTCACTTTTTTCGTGGCAACACTGTTCTTTCTTCCAGATTTCATGCCGTCTTGAAGCAATTCATTTGCTGAAGCCTAATTTTTTTTTTTTTTTAATGGTTCTGTTTTTGTTTTATCCTTTGAATAGTTTTTTAGTCACTTTTTTTGTCCTCCATTTGGTAATGTAGTATAATTATGTGCAGTTATAAGAAAGGCGAAACAAAAAAGTATCCCAGGATAAAAGAACCACTATGTCTTTCATGAGCTGAGTAAGACTCACTCTAAACCAGGATAATTTCCACTCAAAAGATCAGAGAGATGTACAATAGCCTGCCCCACAAACCAAACTCTAAAACTCTGGTTAAGTCTGTTTGCAAAACCGCACTGGAATCCTTGTTCTGAGCCACCATCTGGGTACCAGGATTTGAGTATGCACCATGATTGGCTTGTTAAAAAAGCCTTTGTGGATTTGCCAATCAGGATGAAAGGAAATTTGAAAGGCATTTCCAGTAATTTGTTGAATCCGTTGAGGCCCAGAAAAAGGATCTTGGCGCTGCTTCATGGATGTTACTAACCGAGGTTCAATTACATCTGCTATACAAGCTACATGTACAGTGAATTAGCCCCAAGAGCATTTTTGTGTCTCAATTGGGACGACTCAGTAAATCAAAGTCAATTTTCATGTGTACTTCTTTACCAGCAATAGATAACATTTTCATAGCAGAGTGCAGCCATTCGGCAGCTTCTGTACATGATGTTTTCTTTTTCCTTATTAATATATGTGACTTGTGAGGCATGTGAGCACAACAAAGTGCATGAGTCGTAAATTCTAAAGAATAATAAGGGTGCATGTTTACATATAGAATTGGATCAAGAAAACAGAGCTAGTAAGATATAATTGTTTATCAATTGTCACGGGTATTTCTGATCATGCAAGGGTATTCGGGTATTTCTGATCAACTGCAAGTCAAGGAGGTCGTACAGCAGACAGGACAATAATAATCTTTATTTCCCCCTAATATACTGACAAATTAGTTTGTTTACTCTCTGAATGATAATAAATTACATTTATTTAGTTAAACAGAAACCTATTTAGTCTTTCCCTTTCATTGACACTTACAGTGTAGTTAGGAAGTTTAATTGTTTAATTAGGAACTCCATTTAATTAAAAAATGCCATCTTTTTTGTTTTCCTCAGGATGGATCAATTAACTTCATAGAGTTTATCTCTGCTTTATCAGTTACTTCCAGAGGAAGTTTGGATGAAAAATTAGAGTGTAAGTATTACCTTTATAGCTATTTTCATTTTCTCTCTCTTTCTCTCCCTCCCTCCCTTTCTCTTTTACTTTTTATTCTTTTTCGTTCATTTTGTTGTGTTGTGTTTTTTTTTTCTCTTAGACATGTAAACTATTATGGGCTGCCACAGGAGAAGTAGTTGTACATGTCTGGTTGTTTTGCAATTATCATGGGTTGCTGTATACTTCAATATGACACTGTGTGTTAAATATGCGCATCTCTGTCTTTCTGAAACTATAGTTACAACAATAGAATGAAAGAAGATTTATATGAAAGAAGATCATTGCAGTTATAGATGCAACTTTTCTGTTGTGAAAAGAAAGCCTGAAAAAAATTCAGGCTTGTATAGGACTGTTCAGGTAGACTGTTGATTCTCTCAGGTTAACAAGTCAGACAATAAAGCATATGGTTCTTTAAAACTGTGAAATATGATTCACTCAATCTTTCAGGGGCCTTCAGCCTTTATGATCTTGACAAAGATGGCTATATCACAAGAGAAGAAATGCAGAAAATTGTGGAAGCAATTTATTGCATGGTGGTAAGATTTGTTTATTGATTTAAGCTGCATTTGATGACTTGCTAAATGGCATTTTAGACCAAAAAATTATGCATTTTTACTCTTTGTGGTTCTTTCATACTGAGGGTTGATGCCACAAGACTCCTGAAGTTTAAAAAAAATAATCTTCTGGGTTGGGTCTGTCATAAACTCCTTGATAATTTTCCTTTTTTTAGCCCTTGTTGAACAGTTTCTCTAAGTTGATTATTTTCTAGGTTAATTAATCATGCAGTGAAGAAATAGTGGCTGGTGATTTAATCAGGAAATTTAAACTTAAAATCCTGGAATTTCGTTTTCTCTTAGTTGTAGAAAACATGGCTTATAATAATATTATATTGACTGAGTTGATAGGTTGGGGGTTTGGTCAGTAATTTATGTTTCTTTGTTTTTACTTTCCTAGGGTAGTATTATAGATTTACCAAAGGATGAAGATACTCCTGAAAAAAGAGTTGACAAGATTTTTAAACAAATGGACAAGGTAAATATTAAGTAACAGAGCCAGGCCTCCATTCCATACAGCAACTTAAGAAGTAAGTGTGAATTTTCTGAAACCTTTTCCTCTCTTCTAAAGGGAATATATTGTGCTCCCTCTGTATTTCCTGTATTCATCAACTAAACTTCTTCAGGCAAGTTATATGTAATACTGTGCGAAAACATCTCCCAGGACAAAGAGAGCGGTTGCAGAAAATTTGCACTTAATATTAAGTTGCTTCAGTTGGGCCTATATAAACATTTGGAGCTGATCACCATTGAACTCTTGGGGTAGCAAAGCCACCCCAAGGCTTTGGTAGCACTGATCCTTGCGCTGTCTTAAGGTAGCATAATTGTCAGTTATCCTTTATTCAACCTTTATTCAAAAATTTTTAGTCTTGCAATAGGGGTGCCATCACGCAAGATGTCTAGCTATTAAAAGAAAATGAAATAAAGTTTAAAATAACGATTTCATAACAATAACAAAAGCTCCTACAAAAGATAAAATGGATAAAAAAATCATAGCATTAATTATTGTACAATTGTAAAATTCATTATTGACTCAAATGCTCAAATAAGACTTTTTTCAATCTATCTGCGGACTTAATGTTAACAATTTCTCTTGGTAACGCATTCCAGTCCTTGGCAGTTCTACAAAAATAACTATTCCTATAAGTCTCAGTAATTGGTAGCAGTTTGAACAATAAACTTGCTCTGGCTAGAGTTCCTTAAATGTCTTCTGCACTTCATAACGTAGTCAGGAAAAGCCAGGCCGCCATCACCATGAATTGCTTTATGGAATAAGGTTAACCGTGAGATTGTTCTTCGTACCTTCAGCGGTATCCAGTTTAACTCGTTCAAGAGGTTGGTAACTGTTCCTGGTTTCCGCGTATAACAGTTTTTGACGAAGTGTGCGGCTCCTCTATGTACTCCCTCTATTTGTTTGTCGTGTTCTTTTTTTAACTGCGTGTCCCAAACTGAGCTGGTGTATTCCACGTGAGGCCGCACAAGGGCCTTTGTAGACTGCCTCTTTCACTCCATAGGGGCAACCGCCCAGGTTTAGCCGGAGACGTCCGAGTGATCGATTGGCCTTCATGACTTTGTTATTTACATGCTGGCTCCGATCAAGGTTTCTGGACAATTCTACGCCTAGATAGGGATGGTGGGTGACCGAATGTAACACTTTTCCCATAAGGACGTAGTTAGACTCGACGGGATTTTGCTTCCTCGATATTCTAAGGACGTGGCACTTACTGGGATTAAATTTCATTTGCCATTTCTGGGCCCATTCTTGAAGTGCTGTTAGATCTGACAGCAGTTTGGCGGCATTATTATAAGATAAACAAGAGGGGACCGAGGACTGTCACTTGGGGGAACCCTGATAGAACTGGCACTTCCGGGGAGTTGAACCCATCAATGACAACTGACTCGCTTCGACACTTAAGCTATTGTGTTAGCCAGGTGTTAGGAACACCACGTATGCCATAGCAGCACAGTTCGTTAGGAGACGTTGGTGCAGAACCGAATCGAAAGCTCTCGAAAAGTCCATTATTTATATAGTCAATTTGCTCACCTTTGTCAAGGGAACGAGCTATTTCTTCTGTGTAGAAATTAATTGAGTTTCACATGACAATTATTTTTTCGAAAGCGTTGTTGGTACTTTGATTAGCGCTTGATTTGAATCAAGGTAGGACGTCGTTTCGTGGAAGATACACTGTAATGTGTTCCATGATTTTACTGGGCACTGACGTAAGAGAGATTGGTCGAGAATTGTCCACTTGACTCAGCTGCCTTTCTTGTGTATGGGTACAACAGTCGCTTTGAGCCAGGCCTGAGGGACCGAGCCTGTATGGAGCGACTGCGTGAACAGAAACTTTAGAAAAGGAGCTAATTCAGCAGCGGCCTCCTTTAATATGTAGCAAGGGATTCTATCCGGTCCATTAGCTTTTTTGCATTCCCCCGTCTGAAGAAGTTTTTTTATCCCTGCTGTACTCAGTAAATTGGCTTTCTCCCGACTGTCGGACACGACATCATCGTTGATCTCCAAGGGAGCGACACCAACATTGTCTTGCCTTTTTGATCTTATGTAGGTCCAAATTTGTTTGGGCATCGTAGGTTTACGAGTTTCCAGGTCCATGTCATCGGTTTTGAGGAGGTCCAACAAGTACTTATTATGTGCCAGAGTCAACCTTTTCTTAGTTGCTTTGCGTAGATCTTTAAACTTCATGCTAATTACTCAGCAGCGGTAAACTATTACATACAAAACGGTGACATTTACAGAATTTTCTGACTTGGAATTGAGCGCTGTAGTGATCAGTGATAATGTGTAGGCCTTAAATCAAAGTAAATATCAATCTAATTTCAATTTATTTACTCTGTCCATAGTGGGGAGTTTGTAAGCTACACACGTCGCCCAGTGTAAAATGCTATACCATTACATGCATACATGCATGCAATCACTTTCATGCTATTCTTTCGTTCATTTATTGTTATAACTATTATTATTTCGAACATTCAGAACAGAGATGGGAAGTTGACGATGGAGGAGTTTCGTGAGGGATCTAAATGTGACCCATGGATAGTTCAAGCTTTGGCAATTGATTTACCTCATGAAGATCTCTCTCAAGCTGAAGATTAACTTACAAACAGCACTAATACGTTAGCTTGTAGTGCCACCTGAGAAGTAAAATCTAAAATAGTCTTAGTTTGTAAAAAATCTTTGTCAATTTGCTCAGTAGATATCTAATAATACATTTAGGATGTGGATGGAATGGACTGAGCCGTTTTCTATGTGTTGTGAAGAGAAACTTCACTTTTACCTTGAGAGAAAGGTGGATGATGTGCTGAGAGTAGTGGAATCTTCTGGTTAAGGGAAATTTTTTCGTGGATAACAAAAGAGTAAATTGTAGCCCTGCGTTTCTAGAGTCGTTGATTACCTGTGCTTTCTCTTTTCCGTAGTACAGTGTGTTTATGTCCAAACAAGTTGGTGTAATGAATATAACAACAATACTGTGCATGCAGTGACTCAGTCAAGTACCTAAAGTGACCCTCACAACAAACCATGGTTACAGTTGTGCTCCAAGAAAAAGCAGCGTGGCCGTTAAGTGAAAGTGACACTATAGTTCACTATTTTGTGTGCAAACCTTTCTGTATTTCTCCTGTGTAAATCCCCTGTTCAGTAAAAATATTTCGGGTGAGTAAGAAACGACGTGATTTATTAAGGTCAGCCATTTATGTGGCTTCTCCTTAAACGCCAGGCCTCGAAAAAGAGACCCGTAAATTAGGTTTATGACGCGTTATTTTATGTAGCGTATTCTATAATACTCAAAATCGGAGAAAGTGTATTTAATTTTTAGAATGATTAGATATAGCTGACTAACTCCGATATGTTCTTAACTAGACATTAATCAGCGCATAAACGCACTAATCGTCTATCAATGTCTGCTGTTTGGCTCTGCTCGGGCACTTATTTTTCAGTAGTGGGGCTTTTCTCTTCGTTCTGGCTTTCTTTTTGTTTCTGTGTTTATTGTTTAATCTAAACTTGTAATGTTCTAAGAGCTAGAACTCTGTCTTCATGTACCATTGATGTATGTTTAGTTATTGATATGTAATATACCATCTATTAAGTTATTTGATTATTTATTAGCTTATATTGAGTCGCCAGGTGTTATAACGATTTTTTTTGTAAAATTTTAGGCATCGTTGTGTGAGAGTGTGCGATATTTATGTAGTTCCATCTGTGGATAAGTAGTAGTATTTATATCACCATACAGGTGTGTAATCGTGGCGAATATGTCATGCATGTTGTATTGATCAGCTTACATGTAGTTTACTTTTCAGTAACTGCGATGCCACACTTAAAAAGGAAATTTTTACCTTTTTAACCCTGTCCGTCAAGTTTTCTTCATGTTTTTTTTCTTTGTGTTCTATTAGGGGCCTGTTACACGGCGAATTTTAGCCAAGGCGCAGTGTTAAAATTGGGCGGAAAAATTTGCAGGAAAAGGCTTGCACATTGAAAACTCAACCAGTGAACATGCTCCCAAGGTCACATTTCGGCCCTTCTGACCGGGCTCAGTGAAATTTCCAGCCCGGATTGTGCATGATACCCGGGCTAGAAATTTCACAAAACTAGGGCTGAAACTCTCCTGAAATAATTGAATAGGCTTTTTAAGACGATTTGTTCCGAAAACGGAGTTGAAGTCTTAGCTCAGCTAACCGGGACTGGAATTCATCATGTGATCGCCCCCTAGCTTATTCTATCTGTATAGGTGCCTGATTAGCTTGATAGGATCAACTCAGTTTAGTTATGTTCAAGTTTTATCTGAGCTAATAAAAACGCACATTTTCTCGCATTTCTATATTGTACTGTATCGGTTACTCGCCCGGTGTAGAAGTGTCCCGAGAATGCTAGTGGCAAACAGTTGTCTTCCACGTTGGACTTCGTTTCGCACTGACTTTGTATCTCTTGTTTTGCGAGGCAAGAAAGTAGAAAAAGGCCGTAGTTGAAATGAATAGTCACAACATCTGTTGAGAAGAACGTTTGAGATGTTGAGACAATGCTGCGTTAAATAGACAAAACATTCCTTAAACAAAAATGGATACATTTCAAGAAGTGTACTAGAAGAGAACCCACCTTGATTAGGGGTAGGGCACTGTTGGAGAACCAGTAGCAATTGTTATTATCTCCTAATTCTCTAGCATGCAGTATGCAAATGAAAAACCGATCGTTTTGTAGCCTAGGTGAGAGGAGGGATACATAAAGACACCAGCATTTTCAGCCAAGTGTTGGGTTCTGTTTGCGTAAAAGAGCCTTAACATGTCAAAAACAAAAGGAATGTTGTGACAAAGTTCTGCGTGTGACAGTTAGACACCCCCTCGCAACGTACAGGGGTGGCACTGTAGAAAACTTTAAAATCAAGTTTACGACAAACGTCAATTAGAGCCCCGTGACATGCACGTTTTCCCTTTACATCACATATACTAGTCGTTTGCTGTCTGTTCATTACTCTCCACAAACATACTGAAGTAGTTTCATGACATGTTCATCGATGTGAGGATAATTTTGGACGTGCAGTTTTTATCGACTTATCTCCTAATTTGAGAAATTGCCAACTTGAACCTGATGTTTACGGTGAAAGTGATTCTAAACCTTTTCTGGTAAAACCGACACGCCGAGACCAGCATTAAAATATTCGAGACTACGTAGCTTTCTGGCATCTCTACCACATCGGTGAAGACTCCGGGTTCTCTTCTAGTGAATTTCCCTTTTTTTGGCGTTACCGTCGGAATTTACCTTAATTCTGCATGAACTGTATAAAAAGTCGGATCAGGAGCTGCTGTATTGAGGTGTGTAATCGGCATGAAAAGGGGTAGGAATGCGCGTAGACTGCGAACCAATGAGCTGAGATGAATGAAACCCGGGGGGTACTCACTAAGATGGCCTATACAGGGAGGCTCCTTGCGAAAGGGGTAACTTCAGTTTCAGGGCTTCAGGTATTAAAAGGGTAGGAAAGTCTCTCATTTCGGTCTGTAAAATACCCAAAAGGCGGGCTAACAGGTGCATTTTTTGCTGCAAGAAGAGTCGAGAGAACGTTCCGAGTTTTTGATTTTTTCATGTTTCAAAGACAGTTCATCAAAAGAGACAAGGGGTCCAAAGTTCCTAGCCTGCGAACAAGCTCTCCGGGGCACTCGGGCGGTGGGGTGGGGAAAAAGAAGGAGAGCTTGCAACTACGTCTCTGCAATTTGAATAAATATCTGCATCGAAAAAGTCGATGCGAAATGCTGATTGGCGGAGTTGACACTTGCCGGTAGAGACCCTGATCTCAGTTATAGAGTGCAGTCTAAACCATGACCTTTCCAGCATTAGCGATTGGTTAGTGGCCAACAAACTGACTCTAAATAAATCCAAAACTGAATTCATGGTGACTGGGTCTCGGCAAAAGGTTAAGGATTCTATCTTCACCGATCTCCTGCTCTTGCGATTGGTAATTTCCCAATCTCTCAAGTTGCCTCTACCAAATCTCTTGGGGTCCACGTCGACGCGCATCTTTCCTGGAATACACACATTACTAAAATCTCTGAAAAAGTAGCTTCGGGCATTGGTGCCCTAAAGCGCTGTCGTCCTTTCATTCCTCCGGAACCTTAATTTGAGCGTACAATTCGATCATCCAGCCACACTTTGGTTATTGTGACAGTGTGGAATAACTGCTGGGCAACCGAATATACCATAATATACCATAATGCTCTTTGTTTCTCACTCCAAAATCTGAAAACAATGCTTATGCAAATTTTGGGGGTGACAAACAAAGAGCATTATGGTATGCTATCGTATTTCTGGAGTGGCAGAAGCTCCAAAATCGCGCTGCAAGGATTTTGAATTACACTGACTAGTTAAATTGGACTCAACTTGCTCGTCGTTGTGAACTCCACACAGTAGACATGGTTTACAAATGTACTCACGGTTTAGCGCCTGAATATTCACAGGATAGATTTGTAAACCGTGTTTCGAATTATTTCTTAAGAGATTCCTCTAATAAATTTGATGTCCCTCTCCCCCGCACCAATTATCTTAAAAATGGTTTTCGTTATAGCGGGGCGGTCTTATGGAACGGTTTGCCTTCGACTCTTCGGCAAGCAGAATCCATACGCACTTTTAGATCTGGCTGCAAGGAATTCTTCAAATAGTATACACTAGGCATCCATGGAAAACAGGCTAACTTAATTTATATACTATTTATTATTTATTTATTTATTATCAATATTATATGTAGATCTATTTTATATTATATTTATTATCATATTATTATATAGGTTAGATCGTAGGTTATATGTATATATTTCATAAGAATAGCTTTAGAATTTTATAACAGTTATATGCCTGATGTTTTTACCGAGTGTAAATAAAGTTACTTGACTTGACTTGACTTGTTGACATTAGTCATGACGTCATTACCCTTGGAACGTGGTTTTTCAATGTTTGTTTACCTTAACGCTCGTTTCCCCCTCGCGCTGATTGGCGGAAATCTGACAGCCCAGTCGACGGAGAGCCACAGGGGAATTGAAAGTGGAATTCAAATTCCAGAGACGTAGTTGCAAGCTCTCTCCATGCTCTCCTTACCTTTCCCGCCCCACCGCCAGAGCGTGTGAAAGGGGTACCTTTTCAGTTAAAAAATATCTAAGGGGCTGGACCTCAGGGCAAAGCCTTCCCGTATAAAACTTTCTCAAGTACCCCCCGGGAACTAAAATCTCCGCCCCTGCATTGCGTGTGATATGCTCCGCCGCGTGATTCGGTGCGTGCATTCATAATTTATTCACGGTTATCTTGTCCGACAAGCATTGGATTCGACGATATAGTTTGAAATTATTTTTCCTTACAATCCACTATTCAAGGAATTACTAGCTGGACAATAATAGAGCAAAATAGCACTTTCCTGTTGGCTAAAGTATTTAAATTGAAAGTTTAATACTATTCTTCAACCAGGAAGTGATCTGATCCTTAGAAGTCTCCATTTTGTGGTCCTATAGTTTTTCGGTAACACCGCAACTAAACGTTGAAAAACACAGTAAACCAAGACTTGACCAATTGAGAATTTGTTAGCAGCTTTCTAGATCTGCCACCGGATTCGAATTTTCCAAGTATTTACCATTAAATTTCATGCTGTAGATAACATATCACAGCGGGAAGTTTCATTCCAATGGTAACGTATCATGTTACTTTGTTCACACAGTTTTGATGATTGCTGGAAGGAATGGCCGGTTAAAGAATTGTTCATACTTTTTTAAACCTTAAGACCACAGTAATAAAGCAACGACTATAACTGGCAGACTGACAAATAAATGAAAAATATGAAAAGGAGAATAAAATACGCATTTCATTAGTGTTGTGACCACGATTTTTGTAGTGTTGCAGGCTGGTGTTACAACTTCGAGTCGTTGCCGATCGCGCGTCTCGTCTATTTTCTTCGTACAAAATTGTCGGTATAAGCTTAGCCCGTAAGGTTACGATAATTCAAATTCACAACAACCTGAGGCCGAGGCAAAAAGTGCCTCCGATTCCTTTGATTTTTTTTACGAGTAAATAATTTAATATACAAAAAATGATCGGATTTTAATTGCCTTCAATTTGTATGACACATGATGAGATACATTTGATGCTAATCAACTGTGAACTGTGGAAAAAGATACATGAAAGCGGCCAACCAGGTTAAAATTCTCACAGCTTTAAAAGTAACAAGAAGGACTTCAAAAGATGCAGCGTATTTTTATGATCAACGATTTAATTTTTTTAAAAAATAACTTCAAATGAACAAATAATTTTCACACAATACTGTATAGACTAGTAACGCATTCACCATGGAAACGATAATCTGGTCACGCATAAATTAAATGACATTACTCAACTCGACATTTCTCAGCTAAGGCTGAGAATGTTTGATCGGCTGGAACGAAGTTTTGATTATTCCTTCCTTTGAGTGAAATGGGGCAGAAAAATTCCAAACTAAAACCAGAACTAGTCCGAGAACTTGTTCATAAGACATACTGTAAGTCTTTCTTATTTATCTACTCTGAGCGAATGGATATAACGAATCCT